ATTTCGACGTTGTTTCAGCTAAAAACACGCAGAAAGACTGATTTAGTATTGACCATCTAAGTAAGTCATGCTTAAAGGGAAAACTTACAAGCTCTGACCTAGCCGTCTCAAATGACGCCCCAACATCAAAATACCCCTAGTAGCCGAAGAGGTGAACAACGTCTTTCTCCTCTTGAAGGTATTGCATTGATGCACGGCAAATGAACAGTAATGCTGCTTTCTACGTTTGTATTACTTGAGCGTTACTCAGAATATTGTTGGCACACACGACGAACAATGGAACGAATTCCATTCTGAATTCTGTTTATCATCGCAAAGTTGGTCCCTTGTAACTGTTAAAGCTGGAAAAGCAGCAGGACCAGATGGAATCCCAGCAGAAGCATTGAAAACGGACCCGGAGACAACAGCAGACTTGATGACGCTACTACTGGAGAAGGTGTGGAAAGAAGGTAAAGTACCCGAGGATTGGAAGAAAGGCTACTACCAAAGAAAGGAGACCTAAGTCAATGCAAGAACTGGCGCGGAATTATGCTCCTGTCCATCCCAAGCAAAATACTAAGCCGCATCATCATGGAGAGAATCAAACATGTCCTGGATGAAAAACTTCGACCGGAACAGGCTGGATTCAGGAGGAAAAAGTCATGCATTGACCAGATCGACACCTTACGGTGTTGTGCTGCTATATTTTGACCAAACTAGAGTACACGTATCTTCTATAATTTCTTCGCGTTTATTATTGTGTGCTAACGTTGCGATTACTCGACATCCACAACGTAATTCAAAAGGCACTTGCGAAGGAATACGATAGTGTATTATTGCAGCAATCAAAACTCGAAAATCGAGCGAGTACAAAAGTATCAATTGTTAACATGCAAGATTAAGAGTAATAAACAAATCAAAGTACAATTACACAATGAAAGTATAGTACGATTATGAGTAATAAAATGGGTCACTACAATAGCCCCTCCGTAGAATGCAGGTAAATGAAGTTTACCTGTATTCGGAATGATATTGTAAATCACAAGGACAAAAAAATGAAAACCGAATTGAGGCTTTTTAGTTTTCTGAGGTTCGATTATAACTGTATATATTCGAAAATGTTAACAACTTTGAAACGAACTAAAATGTTTAGAAAGTTGTGCAACATGTAACAACAAAAGCAGAAAAATTATTATTAGAATAATAATGAGGTTGTTATTGCAAAGAGTTACAGAATAGATTTATATCTTAACATACAGTTAATAGTATAGTAATAAGGAAGTATGGGAATGACTTGGGTAAACATTCAGTTACCTCTGTTTCCATGAAAGCTGGTTGTACAAGTGGAATTGTACAAGAAGAGATGGCTGTGCAAGAGAAGAGCGCAGCAGTAGCTGCTGCTGATACGGTTGAAAGTGAACGTCCGTCAGTATGTTGTTGTTGCTGGGGTGTTTTTACTTGGCGTTGAGGAGTAACTTGAATTGATGTTTGCTGAGGTTGGAGAGTAGAAGTTGGTTGATTGATGGCCATTCCAACAAGAGAAGTTGGCATAAGCTGTGGTAAACTAGTGATTTGAATCAACTGACCGTTAGGACCAACAGTCATGACTTTTAATGGAGCTCCTGGTGCCAGAGTGATAAACTGGGGAGTAGCATAGGAGCATGCAGCTACAGTACAAGGTTGACCACTGACAGAGACGTCAGTTGCCATCATTGTTGCTTGTTTCTGATGTTGTTGGATATAAGCTTGCTGTTGAGCTGGTTGTACTGATGAGCTTGTGCTTGGATCTGTTGTTGTTGAGGTGATTGGGTAAACTGTTATAATTGAACAGCTGTAGGACCGGCTTGAGTAAATGGAGTTGCGGACCATTGTAAGAGTGTTTGCACACCTGTAGACAATGCTGAAGCTTGAGGACAGAGAACTGGAATTGAGGTGTTGCATAACAGCCAGCTGCTTGAGTATCAGGGTGAACTGGGATAGCAGTCGCTGTGCCGCCAGGTCCGGAGGTACTTTCAGCAGAAATATCAGTAATTATACATCCAAATGTTATGAAGTTATACAAGTTAATGCGATGGCAAAGATGATTTATTCCACTGTGTGTACTTCGAAATGATGTAGTCCATCAATCAGCTATGTCGGGTTCACCAATTGTTGTGCTGCTTTATTTGTGATTGAACTGGCGTACACATATATCTTGGCACTTCTTCGCGTTTATAATTGTGTGCTAACGTTGCGATTACTCGACATCCACAACGTAATTCAAAAGGCACTTGCGAAGGAATACGATAGTGTACTATTGCAGCAATCAAAATTCGAAAATCGAGCGAGTACAAAAGTATCAATTGTTAACATGCAAGATTAAGAGTAATAAACAAATCAAAGTACAATTACACAATGAAAGTATAGTACGATTATGAGTAATAAAATGGGTCGCTACAATGTATCATCATTGAGCAAAGCTTACAGTGGCAGTCACCTCTCTATCTCAGCTTCATCGACTTTGAAATGGCCTTCGACAGCGTCGATCGAGAAGTGATTTGGAAACTACGTCG